GAAGTTCCCTCACTATCTCTGTATCATTTCTACACCTGTTCCCCCCTGCTGTAAATAAATTCTCCAGACTGTTTATTTTTCTTCTGCATCTCACACTAGCCTGGAAGAATCTTGAATTTTTATCTCCTTCTTTGAGCCATACAAGTCTAGATTTCTGCTTCCAGTAAAGCTCCTCCTGTATGTATGCCTCAGCCATTTCCTTCTTACACTTATTCCATAGATCCCAATTGGTAATTTCTCCCTCCCCTGATTTCCTCCATTTGCTTTTTGCATCTCTCAATAACCCCAGCAGAATTGGTTTTCATCCCGGCTTTCCATTGTAACAAGGCCTGTTTGACATTTTTAATCCTTGCCTGAATGCTGAATAATTGTGGCCCTGTCACCTGTTTACTCCACGCTTTCTCAACCACCTCCAAATATCCCTCTAGCTCAGTCCACCTCCCATCAAAAACAAACCTGCGTTTTGGAATCTCAAAGGTACCTCCAGTATCCATCAATATCATACTGTGGTCAGAAGAGAAAAGAGGAATATATTTAATGAGGACATTTGGAGATCTAAGCAGCCAGTTAGGAGAAACCAGAAATCTGTCTAGTTTCTCTTCCACTAAATCAGACCCACTCCTATTGTTACTCCAAGTGAATGGGTAACCAATAGTCTTAGGTTCCACAGCTCCTATGTCTCTCACCAACCCTCTAAAGCTGTCAAAACTACTTTCCTCTCTAACCACCCCTCCCCTTTTTTCAGAATTATTCAGAATATCATTATAATCCCCTCTCATAAACCAAGACTCCCCCCAGCTCATGCTATATCTGACTATGGAGTTCCACTGAGCCCTTCTCTCCAAAACATTACTACTAGCATATAAGAACACTCCCCATTGATGATCAACACTACTTTTCCAAGAAAATTTGACTTGCAAACAAAAGTCCAATGCAATCATATCCAAAATAGTAATGTTATCATTCCAAAAAAGCAAAAGCCCTCCTTTAGACCCTATAGGAGGTTGATAAAACCAGTTATTATTTAATTTCATTTTTTTGCAAACAGTTTCTACAAATTTGTATTTTTTCTTAGTTTCTGATAAACACACAAAATCCGGAAGGTGAAGTCTAATGACTTCTCTGATTTTATAACAAATAATCAATTTTATAAAATTAATAAAAAATTAAAATGGACATATAGCAAGTGACCAAATAGTGATTATCAACTTCTCCTCTGACGAAACCGTAACCCTAACCCCAAATCTCTTTTCCTCCAAATTCGCTCGCTCCGCCTCCTCCGACGACAGCAACATCACGGCCAGGGGTTTTCCTTGACTGCCTGGCCCTCTCCTGGTAAGAGTGGCTCCGTTTACACCATGGGTGCTCCGCGGTTGGGGTCCGATCGATTGGCGGCAGAGATGGCTTCGGTTGGCGGCGGCGGCCTCCTGGTTCGGCTTCTTGTAGGTGGTTCGTGTCTCCATCTCAATTGCCGGTGGGAGCTGCTTTATGGAGGTAAGCCCGGTCAATTTCGCCTTTTCTACTATCCTCTGGGTTATGCTTCTCCGACGAGCTTGCCTACTCCGGCGAGACTGGGCTTCTGGTCGTCGGAGCTCTGCGGTTGTATGGAGCGGGGCACGTACTGAGGGGTGAGTCGGGGCTCCAGTTAATGCGGCTTGGCTGTCACGGTGGTTGGGGTTGAGGGTGCGATTTACCTTCGCGCTAGCCCATTTGCCTAGTGGTATTAGGCGGCGGGGGACCAGGTTCTTTCGAGCTCGTCGAGTTCGGGTGGGGCCTGTGTGAGGGTCGGTCGAAGCTCTTTCGGTTGAAGATGGGACGATTCTGGGATCGGTTAGAGACTCGGTTTCTTCTACTGTATAGGCATTATGCAGTTTCAGTAGCAGTTTATCGGGCTGGAATCTTTCTTGTGTCGGTCGTCTGTTGGTTGGGATTGTTTGTTCGCTGGGGGAGGGCTCTGTTGGTTTTGTTTGCTTTAGATTGCTTTTTCTGTTTTTAGTGGTTGTATTATCAGTGTTTGTTTCGTGTTTGTGTTTCTGTTTTAGGTTTGGGCGTAGGCCTCAGTTTGTCCGAGTGTAACTTTATTATCCTGTTGGGATCGTACACTCGGGTATTACCCTGTTGGGGTCTTTTTAGTTGTTTTAGTTTTAGTTTGTGTTTGGTAGTTGTGGTTGGTTAGTTTAGTTGCGAGGTTTTTTAATCTAGCTTGCTAGTCGTCGGGATTCTAGGCGGTATTCGGACCTGTCCTCCCACTTTTTCAGCTGTTGGCTGCTGTGTATTCAGTCATTGGCTGCTGTGTATTCGCACATTTGTGCATTTTGATTTATAATATTATCAATCGTTTTGAAAAA